CAGAGTAACGCCAGATTGAGTAAGACACAAAGCCCTAGTACTTAGGCTTAGATAGCATAAATGAGTCGAATACCATATGCTTCGGCTGTAGGATCGATCATGTATGCTATGACGTGTACTTGACCTGAGGTAGCCTTTGCCTTGAACATGGTTAGCAGGTATCAGGGGAACCCTGGCAAGGCACACTGGACTGCAATAAACAATATCCTCAAGTACCTACGGAGGACTAAGGACTGGGTTCTTACCCTCGGTGGGAGTGAAGACTTAAGAGTTGTAGGGTATAGTGATGCTAGCTTTCAGACTGATAGGGATAATTTACGCTCTCAGTCAGGCTGGGTCTTTACCCTACACGGAGGCAAAATTTCTTGGAAGAGTTCCAAGCAAGAGACAGTGGCTGATTCAACTTGTGAATCAGAGTATATAGCAGCTAGCGAGGCAACAAAGGAGGCGATATGGCTGAATAACTTCAATGGAGACCTTGGAGTTGTACCAGCTATTAAGGAGCCAATGGAAATTTTCTATGATAGTGAAAATGTTGTTGCCTTAGCCAAGGAACCAAGGGATCACGGGAGATCCAGACACATCGACAAAAAATACCATTTCATCAGACATCAAATAGAAGAAGGACTTCTCGTGGCAAAAAGAGTATCATCGGATGAGAATCCAGCAGATCCCCTCACAAAGGGACTGACTCGAGTTAAGCATCTCCAGCATGCTCAGAGTATAGGGCTGAAGGATGATATTAGATTTAGTAGTTAGATAACCTTGAAATTTGTAAAGTGTAATTGACATTAGATGATAAATAAAAGGTGTTTTATTTATGAGTAAAGTGTTGCTATCTCTTGTCAATCATTTACTATTTTTCTTTTTTATGTTTTGACTTCCAGAATAATTATGTTTGGTATATCATATTATTCAAACCTCCACAGTCGGTCATATGTCGGAAGTAGGTATGAATCAAGACTGTCATGATTGGTTGCAGAGGTCTAAGGTGTTGGATATGGCTACAACAGTCATGAGTGCTCATAAGGTCAAAGCATTAGACTCAACCCACGCTCACTAGAATCACTTCATGAAATTTATCTTGAGTGATCGTGAGATGGTAATATCATATAAGTCTTTAAACCTAGAGATATGATTTGTTACTTATGAGTTGGTTATGCATTGATTGTACGAAAACGCATTGGTAACTCGATGTTATAGAATGTGCTCTTGTGTATAATTCAATGAGTGGTAGAACAAACATATGAGTCGAAGTTTATATGTTCCTTCTTTGATTAGAAGCTGATATCTGGGCTCCTCGATGATTTTGTGTTGACCTATGTATCGGGCCCGGTTAGAACTAAGTTGATGTGTTCAATTAAGTTCTTTGTTAAAAAAATCGGAAATCGGGAAACAAACTGTTGGACAATAAGTAAGACATTGTTCCATGTATTGTCCGGCTGATATCTCGAATAGAGGATTATATGATCACTTATCTTAAATGGTGTATCATCATCTTCTTAGTTCCAAGAAATCTTGAAAGAGCTACGATTGCTGATCGGTTCCTGAAGTCATACTTGCAGTTATAGTTATTAGACTTATCCAAGTGGGAGACTATTGGATAAGGTGTCTAAGTCCATAACTATTTCTAGTATGTACTTGACCCGACCCGACATGGTCCATTTGGGTTCCATGGTACCATGCAATTGGATAGACTAAATGAGAGAAATAATAGTTGTGGTTTATTAATATATTATAAGTTCTAATATATTAATAATATTATTTAATTAGTTTGATCAAGAATTAATTAAGTGATCAAAAGATAACTAATTAAATATATGGGTTGATTATGTAAATCATCCATAACTTGGATAGTGGGCTAAGAGGCTCCATGCATTATCAAGTTGGGTTACACCCATAGGATGCTCCAAGGGAGTTACAAACCCATGGGTCATGGAAATGAAGAGTCATGACACATTAAGGTTTACATGGTGTAACCCTAGATGTGTCAACACTATATATGGAACCCATTCTCCACCAAAATTTTCTATACACATGAACAAGTGAGGGCTAGGCCAATTTTTACAAGTGTAAGATTCTCTCAAAGTTTACTCCTTTGCAATTTGATGTTGTGTGAATCATTTGAGGCATCACACTTGGGGTGCTAGGCGCACAAGGTTTCAAGGATCATAAGCAACAACATGGTGTGTTATTCTATCTTTCATTCAAGTTAAAAATTGTTCCCGATATATGCTAGATAGGAATATAACCTTGGAGTTCAACTTTGCATGATAATTAGACAAACATAGATCCAAAAGTTATTAGGGTTGCATGTACACTTAGGAAGTGTTAGAATGCTCAAAACCCATCAGATTGTACCAAACATTTTTACAGTAATCAAGATATGAAAAGAAGATGTTCTTGAGGTGTTATTGGCTATCAAAATTGCTCAAAACTACAGAGAGAAAGCATCAAAATCGGACATCCAAGATAAGGCTGAAGAGGCACACCAACCTTCCTAATATAGAGCTCTAGACAAAATCCTAAATTTGCCCTTGTCAAGAATCCACGCAGACTGTGGAGAATCTTACGTGGGCCGCGTGACCATGACGGAGTTTTTGGGCTTCTTCAAGATTTGGCCCCCCACAGCTTAACAATTGGCCCAGTTCGAGTCTAATTAGCTTCTAGCCCATTTTCTTCAATATTTCTTCAATTTGAGCCCGATTTGTCTCTCCACATTAGCCAAAGCTTCCGCAAACTCCTAAACATCGATCTTGCACACTCAAGAATTCTCTCGTGCCTTTCAAATTTAAAGTTCAACACTTCCACGCCTTCAAGAAATTGGCATGCCCACTCCATGAATCACCTCCATAGCTATCAAACACTAAATCCCCATTTTCCTTCAAGTCCAATCGCCTCCCGAAAATCCAGCTCCGCTAGTCTCCAAAAAATCTGCAATGATTCTCAAAAAAATAGAAAGTACCCAAGATGGTCATAAAAATAACAAAAAGGAAAATATGCATGGAAATTAACTAAAATGAGAATGAAATGTGCTAAAAAATTATAAAATGAAGTTATCAGCCATTTTAACACTACCAAGGACTTCAAATTATACAATATTTTTGTTTATTCCAGTAGTTTACACTTTTAGATTTTCAGAAAGTACTTTTAAAAGTCCTAACGATTTCTCTACAATTTTATATGATCTTTTACAAAACAGGCTATCCGTACAGCTAATTTCCGACCAGTCAGTGAAAAAGGAGATTCTCACCTAAGTTGGAGGAAACAACAGGTCTTCGAAAAATTCATGGAAAAACTAGACTCAAATTTCAAACTTTGAGAACTTATAGATCATTAATCTGAATTCTAATGATTTTTCTATATTTTCTTGAAAACAGGGACAGATTGGTAATTTTGCTGAATTTTCCAGCTTTGAATTTCAAGGACTTTTTGACCACTTAACCTATTAAGCCACAACCAAAATCAACTATAAAGTTGTAAATCTAGTTCTTAACTGTAGCAAAATATCAATAAGTTAAAATAACAATTTCAATCTCAATCCACGATTCAAAGTACAATGCTTATATGAGAAAAATAAGGTACTTTGCTAAAAGAGAAAACACCACTAGGGCTTGAGTTTTCTCCAACACTGCCTCACATTAAGACCCTTTAGGGACTATTTTGAGGACCTTTTGGATGGTTCAAAACAAGGTCTTAGATGAAGGAAATTAATCACATGAATCTAAAAGAATGAAGATAACAAAAACATGAACTTGAACAAGGAAATCATTCAAGGTGTTCATAAGAAATTTTGACAGCAATTAAGCCATCAAAAACACCCTACACCAATGGAATTAAACCATATAAACATTCAAAGGTTTCAAGGAAGAAGAAGATGAGATTTTAGTAATCAATTAGGAAGAGAATTGAAAACAACAATCATCAATTGAAATGGAATTTGACATATATATATATATATATATATATATATATATATATATATATATATATATATATATATATATATATATATATATATATATATTATATATATATAATGCACAACAAAAAGATTAGAAGACAATTTTTACCAATTGTTGGCCAAAATCGCAGCCCTCTATCTTCTCTCTAGGATTGATCAAGCAAGGTTTCTTTCCTCCCTCCTCCTCCCTTGCTTCGATGATGCCTTCTCCCCCCCCCCCCTCAAGCCGTCGTTTCTTCCTTGCAGCTTGCATCACACATCAACACACAAAAGGGAATAGCTGATCAATTTTTCTCAATGAATAAATGGGACATGAACAAAAACGCACGAACCCATAAAACACAATACACTCGTCGATCCCTCTACATGGGGGTTATACCCTAATTTTTACCATCTACCCCCTTAAATCCCATATTGTATCCTTTTTTACCCTAACCCTAGAATCTTGACAATTAAAGTTTCCTTTTATGACATTTGAGTCCCTTGACCCCAATTACTGCATTGAAACGAATTATATTTATCCTAATAATTTCATAAATCAATTTCATTAAATTACGCACCTTTTAGTTTTGGATTAATTCTTTTAGATTTTAAATAATACTAATTTTAGTTAATTTATTCCATTTTAACCTCATAGATAAAATACTTTGCATCAATAGTTCTTCAAGTAACGGAACAACTAACGTCGTTTTTGATAAGATTATCGGGTCGTTACAATTCTCTCCTCCTTAAAAAGATTCCATCCTCGGAATCTCTATTTTTACGCTTCTTATTATTTATATGTCGCCTCTTTGTGTTATACTCCATCACGAATTAATGTCAAAGTAAAAGTGTGTTCACCAAAAGAGATATCACACAAATCAAACTTTTCACACATTACGACTAAATCAAACATAGCCACATCAATATCTACATCGCAACTAATCGACTTCGAGACACACTATAAACGACTACATAAATGCACTGATACCAACTACTTACTATCACTAGCATCAAATAACACAAAAGCACAAATAACACATAAACATGTATACAATTAACTAGGAGGGTTCCCAAAAATCACCTCATCAGTTTTCATATTGAAAGCACGAGCTTTCACCTTTGGCGCTTCATCTTTCTTCTCATCAGCTCCCATCTGGACCTTGGGGTTGGGACATTGCGTACTGATATGTCCCATTTGGCGATAGTTGTAGCACACAGGTTCAATACTCTTACAATCTTCACAACGGTGCCCCACCTTACCACATCACTTGCAACTCTTGGTACTGCTACTACATGGACCTCCATGAAAAGAGTGACACTTCTTACAAAATGTTAATTTTGCACCATTCTTTTGAAATTTCTGCTTCTCAGGGGACCCCGATTGACCCTCCCATTTGCGTTTTTCCCCAGACCTCGATGTGGTATGATCCCGAATAGCTATATCATTCTCTATCTTGTGGGCCTCATCCATGGTCTCGACCAAAGTGTTCTTCAATCTCATAACTGCACGGTACTCAAATGGTAACCCCTCCACATAGTGACGAATAAACTTCTCCTCAGTCGGGAAGTAATCAGTAGCGAACTGTGACTTCTTAGTAAAGGTGGTGTCATACTTAGAAATCATCATGCTACCTTTTTGTAGGTTCAAAAACTCCTGTTAGGCTTGTTGCATGCTACCATCACTATAGAAATGATCTTTCACCTTCTTACTAAGAATTTCCCAAGTCATAGCCCTCCGAGTGACTTCATTGGGTCGTGCGTTATTAGTGTCCCACCACTCGAGTGCTTCCTTGTCAAACGTTCGCACTGCATAATTCACCTTCTGCTCCTTAGTAAATTCATCAGATCGGAATGTTTGGTCCATCTTTCTAATCCAACGAAGGCATGCCATAGCACTTTCGCCTCCCTCAAAGGTAGGCGACTTATAGTCCATGAAGGTTTTGAATGAACTACGTCGCCCTTTGACAGCTCCAACGACCTCCTACATTGGCACGGAACGACTATGTGCCTCATCATCAAATGATTGATCTCCACCCTCGTTCTCGCCCTCAAGTGGCAATAGTCCGGCGGCATGCATCGCCTGTCGCATCTGCTCCAGTGCCATATCCTGATCCTGGAGCTACTCCTAAAGGTCAGCAATGATGACGGCACTCACTATGTTGCGTGCGCTCTGCGACAGTTGGACTCGTAGCTAACGGTTAATAGGTGGGGTCTGAAACATGAACAACGGTGTCCCGGGAGTATGGCTGTTCTGGCTACCGCCAGCTCCTCCAACATTCACATTCTCCTCAGCATTCGACATTATCCTAACTAATAAAGAGTTTCTTTTTAAACGTAGATACAAATATTAGGAAGGGAAAGTTTACAAGCAATTATCCAACAACACTCAACACACACCCTTCCCCCCTTAAGTACCTAAACGTCCTAATTGAGCCAACTAAGTTGTGAGTCTGAACACCGACATTTGTATTTAGTTCACTCACAACATTGCTCTGATACCAACTTGTAACGTCATGATTTTTACCATAATTTTTTTTTCTTTTTAAAACATTTATTTAACAGAATACATTGGTGGAAGACTTAGTTTTGTTTATTCAAAACATTTTTGAAACCACAACGTTACTTCAAAAATTCAAACGTAATTCCAAACCATTTAAAATGTAAACAATAGTACTTTAAAGTAAATAATCAAAACATGTCCGAGAGTGATATCGTTAATATAAATCTACTACCCATAAGAACCCCTCTCACCAAGGCCAATCTTCTAAACTACATGCACCAATCATAAGGCACAAAAGAGAAAAGATACAAGTGTCAGCCCCTGTTGAGTGAGTTTATAAAGTTGCACATAAAACATACAAACCCCAAATGGGTCAATCACTCATTTTATGATGAAGCATAAAGATGATAGACAAATACCACTTAGAAAGCTACCGCATACATTCATATATTTTTAATCAAAATTCTACCACATAACATATATGATCAACCAAATACCACATAAGCAACCGCATAGCATATAATTAATCACATTTCATATATAAGCAACCTTTAAATGTTCAACCTTTTATTAATAAGCAACCTTTGGTATATATATATATATATACACACACACACATATATTCAACCATTTAATATGCAACCAACCTTTTGTTACACGTTCAACCTTTTGTTAATAATCAACCTTTGTTATATATTCAACCTTTTAATATGCAACCAACCGTTTGTTACATGTTCAACCTTTTATTATATCTGTCCAACCGATTGATAGAAAAGTTTCTATAAGTGCTACCTAACCCAAGAGAAACATCCTGTTCACTACTTGTGTACATGGCCAGCCGAATGCTCTAAGTCGCTCATGACTTCCACCCGAAACACCAACCCCGTGACTCCACTTTCGCTACTCCGACTTTTCAAAGTACAAGTACCCCGCGGTGTTGTTCAAGATCGGAACAAACGGTGCCAATTCCAACGATACACCTCCCGATTCCCACGTGATGTTTGCGTTGGCCGCGAACGAGGGACCAACATCACTCCAGCCCACGAACACCGAAGTGCCAAAAAACCATGTGTCACACGCTCATCTAGAAAGACCGGCAACTAATCACCGTTGTGGCTATATCTCTTTTTATAGGTACTCTTTCAACCTAGTAGGCACCCTTAATGATCCGGATAAGGTTTTAGGCAAAGATCATCAAACTACCCAAACCCACTACGCATAACCCCGCAATGTCATTTATACATTAAGTAAAGCATGTAATGCACACCATATAAATGTGTATTAAACATGCAATGTATTCATAACCAACACATCAAAACATAACCATACATCATATTTCAAGTAACTTAAGCTAGCATGTCGTATACATCAAGGACATCAAAGCGTAAGCAACATAGCAATGAGGTCATATCATGGCATTAGCACAAATCGTATTTTAGCATCACAAATATCATATCATCATCAAGCACAAGTAATGACATGGTCATCCTAAAGTGAATCAAATCACCGTCTACGGATTCCACGTTTCAATAATGCAACCTTAGTGAGTTAAAACTATGAACTCACCTTTAGCCTTGATGAAATCTTCCTTCTATTCCAAGTATTGAATTTACTTGAAGTGCTCAAGGATCCAACTAAACACCACATATAACATTAAATTAACAAATAAAGTATATGTTTCAAACATACAACTTTATTCTAACTTTTATATAATTTTTATATTTTCCTTGTCGGCCCCTCGTTCAATGTCTTAGTTATAAAACCTAATCTACAGCTCCAATTGGAATGAAATCAGACATTATGGAAACTATATTTGATTTCCTAGAACTTCATGATATTGGAGCATCTTCCAATTCTTCCCGGATTACCAGCTATAGCTCTTGCAAGATGGGGAAAAGTTGTTGTGCAAAATTCTAACATTCACCAAAAATCACTATATGATTCAAGACTTTAGGTAAATGATTATAGTTGCTCAATTTTACACACAACATGATTGAATGGTAGTATTAAGACATCAATAATGTACTTTTATGAGAATATCAAATAGATGACACAAAAACATTGAGAGTAGAATGCCTAAACATATAGACGAACAGTTAGAACAAAGTTTAAGATTTTGACCCGTAACAGCCACCTGTCCAAGGCCATTTTAACACGACCAAGGACTGAAAATTATACAATATTTTTGTTTATGCCAGTATTTTATACTCTTATCTTTTCAGAAAGTACTTTTAAATGTCCAAACGATTTTTCTACAATTTGTAGGAAACAACCTATCCGTACAGCTATTTTCTGACTAGTCAGTGAAAAAGGAGATTTTCACCTAATTTATAGGAAACAATAGGTCTTGCAAAATTCATGGACAAACTAGACTCGAATTTCAAACTTTGAGAATTTACGGATCATTAATCCGATTTCTAATGCTTTTTCTAGATTTTTTTGAAAACAGGAACAAATTGGTAATTTTGCTGAATTTTCCAGCTTTGAATTTTAAGGATTTTTTGACCACTTCACCTATTAAGCCGCAACCAAAATCAACTATAAAGTTGTAAATAGAGTTCTTAACAGTAGAAAAATGTCAATAAGTTAAAATAACAATTTCAACCTCAATACATGATTCAAAGTACAATTCTTATATGAGAAAAATATGGTACTTTGCTAAAAGAGAAAACACCACTTGGGCTTGAGTTTTCTCCAACATTGCCTCAACCTTTTAGGGACTATTTTGAGCACCTTTTGGATGGTTCAAAACAAGGTCTTATATGAAGGAAATTAATCACACGAATCTAAAAGAATGAAGATAACAAAAACATGAACTTGAACAAGGAAATCGTTCATGGTGTTCATAAGAAATTTTAACAGCAATTAAGCCATCAAAAACACCCTACACTAATGGAATTAAACCAGATGAACTTTCAAAGGTTTCTAGGAAGAAGAAGATGAGATTGTAGTAATCAATTAGGAAGAGAATTGACAACAACAATCATCAATTCACCTGGAATTTGACATATATATACACAACAAAAAGCTTAGAAGATAATTTTTACCAATTGTTGGCCAAAATCGCAGCCCTCTTTCTTTTCTATAGGATTGATCAAACAAGGTTTCTTTCCTCCCTCCTCCTCCCTTGTTTCGATGATTCCTTCTCCCCCCACAATCCGTCGTTTTTTTTCCTTGCAGCTTGCGTCACACGTCCACACATAGAAGGGAATGGTTGATCAGTTTTTCTCAATGAATAAATGGGACATGAACAAAAACGCACGAACCCATAAAACAAAATACAATCGTCGATCCCTCTACATGGGGGTTATACCCTAATTTTTACCATCTACCCCCTTAAATCCCATATTGTATCGTTTTTTACCCTAACCCTATAATCTTGACAATTAAAGTTTCCTTTTATGACATTTGAGTACCTCGACCCTAATTACTGCATTGAAACGAATTATATTTATCCCAACAATTTCATAAATCAATTTCATTAAATTACGCACCTTTTAGTTTTTGATTAATTCTGTAAGATATTAAATAATACTATTTTTAGTTAATTTATTCCATTTTCACCTCGTAGGTAAAATACTTTGCATCAATAGTTCTTTGAGTGACGGAACAACTATCATCGCTTTTGATAGGATTATCAGGTCATTACACATAACTCTGGTGTACGTGAGGCGTAGTATGATCAAGGAAAACACGGAGCCATGTACGTAAGCGCAGCATACAAAGTGGTACCCACATCGTACGTGTGCTGACTCAAAACCCTAATTTTTTTAGGATTCAAGCCATATAAATATGTCATTATGTCCCATGTCTTAGCCTACTTAGCTCAAAAACCCTAAAATCTAACCTTTATCATGCTTGTGTGTTCTTGACCTTCTGGATATCATTTTTGTAGCTTGGAGCCTTGGAAAGAAGAAGAGGAAATTGGAGAAGAAGAGTTAGTGAAGCTTGAGCTTGAAGATCCGAAACGTCATCATAATTTAGCATCCATTTGAGGTATAAAGTTTAGAACTTGCCTTATGAATGTTTAGATCTCTTGTGTTTGAGTTTTTGGGCCTTTTGGTCCCATGGATGAAGCTTTAATGATCAAGTTCGTTTCCTAAGCTTAGAGTTACCACTCTTTGTGTTATTTGACTCCTTTATTCAGAAAGTTGCCATCTTGGATGTCTTGAAGCATCCATGAATGAGTATTGGTCATTTTTAAGGGACTAGGTTGTCATATTCCAAGTTTAGGTTCATTTGGTGGCATGCAAGCCACCAAGTGGTCGACTTTGTGGGTGAAGATCCATCATTGGACTCAAATATTTGTTTAGAGCCTCAGAGCTTAAGGGTTTAAGTTATTTTTGGGATTATGGTTTAATAGGAGAGGATGTTAGGCATACTGATTTGGGCTTAGCGTACAGATGAGTATGTCCCGCATACACACTGATTTG